GTCTTGTAATTCTTTTACCCGTGCTTGAAGTGCAGGAGTAGGTTGTTTATGCCACTTCTTCATATCTTCTTGTTTGTTTTCCATTCTGTTCAGCTTCTCAGCTACTTTTGCGATGGCTGAAACACAAGCTCGCAGCGGGCTTAAATGTAACTCAAAGTCTTGAAGTTTATTAATCAGTTCGTTTATAAGGGGTCTTCTTTCCCCTCTGCCATACATTGCTGCAAATGTACTGGCGTACCTTTCTGGTGCAGTCTTTGTGAATGTACGCCACATATTTGGTGTACACCTGACTCTCTCAGGATCATGCTCTTGATCCGGCTCATCAGGAATGAAATCAGGGCTATGTAGCATTTCCACCACAGCATATGCTCTCAAATAACGGATGCCTTTTTCTATATCAGTCCATTTCTTTTTCTCAGGCATCAGATCGTCTTTGAAGGGGTATCTTTCTTTTACAGCTAACAACATCCTCTTCCAGAGGGTGAAGGCCTGGTTCTGGCATGTACTAATGCCTCTGTCAATGGCTGAGTCCCTAGCAATGCCACCCAGCTGGCGAGCTTCTCTACTATCTAGCCACACACTGTTGGCCCCATTGTCCCAGCAACGAAGTAACCAAGTGGCAATAGGTTCATTTGGGTGACGTGAAAAGTCTTTTCTCAGACTTCGAATTTCATTCATTTTCAGAGATCGATCAACAATGGTAACAATATCTTGCTCACCTCTTACTCTTTCAGGACTCCTTGATGCCCTTATAGGCATTGGTGACCGTGGTCTGACTGAGGGTCCCTCCCCTGGACTCGGGGGCGCTTCCCCTGGATCTCGGAGCCACTCCTCTGGACCTCTTTGCTCCTCTTTCTTCTCTTCTAACTGAGTTGAGATTCGTTTCATTTTCCGTCCTCTCACAGGGGCAACTGATATCAATTGTGGTGCCTCCTGTGGTTGATCAGGTTGGTCAGTTCCAATGCTCTCACCCTCCAGTTCGGCTTGGAGTCTGTCTTTTTCAATCATGAGAGCATTCAGTTCAGATTGAAGGGTGTTTCTCTCAGTTTGGACGGTGTCCCATTCAGACTGGAGAGTGACGAGTTTGGATTGCAGGGAGTCTCTCTCGATTTGGAGGGCATCTTGTTGAGATTGGAGATCCCTTCTCTCAGTTTGAAGATTTTCCCTTTCGGCTTGGAGACTTTCTTTCTCAGCCTGGAGATTCTCCCTCTCTGCTCGAAGTCTCACCTGCAAACTCTCCCTTTCTGCTTGGAGACTCTCTCTCTCAGCTTGGAGATTCTCCCTCTCTGCTCGGAGTCTCTCCTGCAAACTCTCCCTTTCAGCTCTCAGACACTCTCTCAATTTCACAAACTCTCTCCCTCTCTGGGATACTATTGAATAAGGCCCGATAAGCATTAGCTAGGCACCAAATCATTTGTGGCTCCTCAGATCTGCATGAGCCGCAACATTCCTGTTTCAAATATGCATTTAAGCTCTCAGGGTCTTTCAGGTGTTCAGGAGTGAAGTTCCATGACACCGAAGATGTCCGTCTCTCTACAGTCTCTCCCAAGCCTCTCCACACTCCCTGCCACTCAGTATTCTCTGGTTTTGGGGAAGGCTTCCTCAAA